AGGATTTATACACGCAACTTTGACATAATTTGTTTCAGGTAAGTATGTGCTGTGTGCGACGGCCCTGTGGCTCAGTGAAAGAACAACTGCTTGACATGCAGAAGGCCCCAGGTTCAATCCCTGGCATCTCCAGTGAAAAGGATCAAATAGTGGATGATGTGAAAGACCTCTGCCTGGGACCCTGGAGAGTCACTGCCAGTCTGACTAGACAATTCTGTCATTGAGGAAACACTGATTCAAGTTTAAGATCGTGTCACATCACTTTCTCGGTGGCATTTTTGCATTTGCTACCAAGATTCTGATTTGTAAAAAAAGAAGTTTACCAGGATCACTTGAAAGGACTGACAACTGTTTACCGCTTCCTTTCCACAGAGAGCCAATTTGGTGTAGTGATTAAGTGTGCGGACTCTAATCTGGAAGAACTGGGTTTGATTCTCCACTCCAACACTTGCACCTGCTGATGTGACCTTGGGTCAGTCACAAGCTCTGCCACAGCTGTTCCTGAAAGAGCAGTTTGTGTCAGAGTTCTCTCAGCCCCACCCACCTCACAGGGTGTCTGTTGTGGGGAGGGGAAGGGAAAGGAGTTTGTAAGCTGCTCTGAGATTCCCAGTGAAGGGCGGGGTATAAATCCAATCTCTTCTTCTTCTTCTTCTTCACAGGGGAGGATACCATGGGGGCAGTCCTTCCACGATGGGCCTGACATCCATTGGAAATTACAAGCACGTTCTTCCTAATGGCTCTGGCTGCCAAACAGTGAGGATTTTGTTGCTTCCTTTTGGGGGAATACCTGTTGTGCAGTGAAGGTTTTGTTTAGGAGACATCTCTAAATGTCTTTTCGGTCCTGGCCCCAACCTGGTGGGGCTCTCTGCCAAATTCCGTCAGGGTCCTGCGGGGACCTTATGCAGTTATGCGGGGCCTGTAAGGCAGAGATGTTCCGCCAGGCCTTTGGTTGAGGACAGCGACGGCTTTCACCTCTGCTGGCACCCTCCTCGCTTTTCCTCAGTTTTCCATCCTCGTTTTGATCTCTTCCCCCCCGCCCCCCCCCGCCCACGAAACAGCCAGCAGTCTGTAATAGGGGAATAATTAACTCTAAGGTACTATTTGCTATCTGTTTCAATGTAATTAATATGTTTGATTGTTTTTACTTGATGACTGATGATTGTTTTTAATATAATGTACGTTGCCTAGAGTCCTACAATAGTAGGGATGGGACGAAATAGTAATGACGATGATGATGATGATGATCATCATCATCATCATCAGGGGTCATTTAGTAGAAAAAGAGGTGCAGGAGCTCATTAGCATAACTCATCAGCATAACTTATTTGCATGTGCCACACCCACCGCTAAGGCTCCACTGGACCATTTTGGATTGCTAGTTATTGGGGGGGGGGACGTGCAGATCTGTC